GGACAGAGAGAGACGGAGCATGAACGGGGGAGGGGCAGAGAGAGAGGGAGGCACAGAATCGGAAACAGGCTCCAGGCTCTGAGCCATCAGCCCAGAGCCCGACGCGGGGCTCAAACTCACCGACCGCGAGATCGTGACCTGGCTGAAGTCGGACGCTTAACCGACTACGCCACCCAGGCGCCCCTAAATTAAATTTCTAATTGGAAAAAAGTCTGAGGTTATTACTGAAATATGAGATCAACTATGTGATGTGTATTATAAAAGGTGCAGCTTGCTAGTTTTTTATAGCAGATTAAGCTTATGATTTAATTTCCTCCAATTTAAAAGAACATTAAATAAATATTTATATAATATCAAAAACAAAAAGGATAACTCTTGGTGGCTCAGAAATCTCAAACATGGTAAACCACTTCCAAAAACACATGCATGAGTTCTGTGGCATTGATCCTTTTACCAAGGAGAGCATCATTCTACAGAAATTGTTCAAACCTGGTACTAGAAGGGACCCAGGATGAGCAAAAGGAGAATATATGGTGACCTGCAAAGGTATGAGCCAGAAGGCTTGCCCATGAACACCCTAATCCCAGGAATTATTCCATGATATAGCACTCCATGGTCTGAGTACCAGCAGTAGAAGAATAAATGTGGGAGGTCTGCTTGGAAAGGCAGAACAGTGGTTGGTGATACCTGGGTTGAAGGGGAGCTCACAGAGCTATGGTATATCCCACTCCTAATTAAAAAAAGAAACTATAAATCTCAGAATGGCAAAAATTAGAATGAAGAAAAATAACATGTGTTGGTGAGGATGTGGGAAAATGGGAACCCTCACAATAGTCATAGGAAAGAGGACAGCTGACTGCAGCCACTTTGAAGAGCAATCTGGTAGCATTTAGTGGATTTATGTAAATGTAAGCCCAGAAATCCTGGGACAAGTGATATTACCCAGGTTTCATGATTGAGCAGAAAGAATGAGTGAATAAATGAATGCCTGACAGATGAGAACTGAGAACACCTGCAGGTACTCACCCCTGCCTTGATGTATATGGGGACAAAGAACCATCCTAGAACCAGCAACAGCAGCAAAGCCTACAAAATCCCAGAAAACAGTGTGAAGTTCGAGGGGCTTGGCTTGTGGGACTTATCACTTCATGACCTCTGAATCAGAAAACAAAGTAAGTTTGCATGGATCCTGTCCCACTCAACCAATTATGAGCCCAAGACAGCTACAGATTCTTTCCCTCTGTTTCTGTAATTTAGATACAGAAGATAAGAGATCTGAGACCAGCTGGACCCAGGAAGTTCATACTATTTTTGCCAATAGGAATAATTCTTTTTAAAAATAGTTTTTATTTTATTTTTAATCTATTATTATTTGTTTTGAGAGAGATAGAGATAGAGAGAGAGAGAGAGAGAGAGAGAGAGAGAATCCTAAGCAGGCTCCATGCTTAACTCAGAGCCCTATGTGAAGCTTGATCCCACGGCCCTAGGATCATGACCTGAGCTGAAACCAGAGTCAGATGCTCAACTGACTGAGCCACTCAGGTGCCCCCAACAGGAATAATTCTTGAATGGGAGAAGTTATATATAGAGTGACAAAGCAATAAGAAAGCAGTTTGATGAAAGAAGAATATTCCTACTGTCTCCCAAGTCATGCCACATATAATAATGGTAATAGTATAATCTTGCATTAATGTTAATATATACAAAGTCTTCACATATATCACTTGTGTTGTCCTCATAACAACCAGATGAGGCAGATAAGGTAAGTAGTTATTCCTGTTTTATGGAGGGGGAACCTGAGCCTCACAGAGATTAAGGAAGCCCAAGGTCACAGGCTAAAAGAGCTAGACCCTTGGCAACCTGATAATCACACCCACTGGGGCCATAGGGCATGTTGTCCAGTTTATGGCACTATCAAAACAAAACATGGGCCATAGGGCATGTCTGGAGACTGGGTCCATTCTGGAGTCCCTGATACTACTAAAGCAAAGCTAAGGGGAAAATCTTCAACAAGGGATGGGTACAGGTATTTTTGGATGACTCAAGGTCATTTCCTGAGTCTATTCAGGCATGGTCTGTTTATACTTTCACTGTGATCTGACTTGTTTCCACATAAACATCTTCCTCTGACCGAAATGCATAATGTGTATTTGCAAACACCAGAAGGGATACAAGAACAGAAAAAGCTCAGGCACCTCAAGAAATATTAATGCATGTACCCAGACAAGGGCTAGATGATGAGGTGATACGAATGATATGAGAGGAATTGATCCCTGCCCTTAAAGGACTTAGTGTCTAATTAAGGGGACACAGCTTCTACTGGTGAAATGGCAGTAGAACAATTAAGAACTCAAACACAAAGTCTTTTAGATTCTATCTACTATCTTTAAATCATTTACTCCTTACTCAGCTCTCATGTCCTTAGCCAAGTCCCACTTGGTCAATTTCTATTCATCTATCCGAATGGATGAGTGCCATCTCCCTTAACATGTGCCAAGTCTCATCCTTCATCTAGGATAGATTCCCTCCTGTGTGAGCTCTCCCAACACTCAATGTGTGCTTCTCTCCTTGTACTTCCTACACCATAGTGAATGTGTATCTGTCTCTCCCACTGGGATATAAGCTTCTCAAAAGAAGGGATCATTGCTTTTACATGTTTTTATTCTGTGCATCTAAATCAGAGCTGGACACGTAGTGTAATAGCTCAGGAAGGAAAGAAACAAGTGAGAACTAAAAATGATCAAGGAGGTCAAGTGAAAGTGGGGATTCAATCATATAGAAATGATATTCCTGGTGGGAATACTGCTTGAGCAAAATCTCAGAAGTAGAGAATGAGACTGGATTGTCCCAGGCAGGCAGAATGGGGCCACATTCAGAGAAGACTCTGCGTTTCAAACTAGGGATTGGTTAGAAGGAAAACTAGAAATCAAATAAAGATATACCCTATACAGACTCCCAGAAGAACATACCTTGACAGAGTTTGGATTTAAAGGAAAAAGCCTATTATGTCACTTACATTCCATTCAAATGTTGCAGTGGCGATTCCTGAAGCTGCTCCCGTCCCAGCCAGCCCCACAAAGTGGCCACTGCCGATATTACTGGCGAAGAGAGAGGCACCCATCTGCAATCCAAGGGAACAGACTAGGATCAGAGTTAAAAGACCCAAATCAGATTTCTTTAAAGCAGGTAAATGTTGAGATTTTCCATCGTACCTCTTTAAGGCAGGAATCCTGTGGGCTAAATCCAGCCAGTTACCAGTTTTTGTGTGGTTGGTAAGCTAAAAAAAATTTTTTTTTATATTTTTGAATGGTTAAAAATATATAAGGAAGACTAATATTTTGTGATGTGTGAAATTATATGAAATTCAAGTTTCAGTGTTCATGAATAGTTTCATTGGAACACAGTTATACTTGTTGGTTTTACATATTCACTATGGCAGCTTCTGTGCTACAACAGCAGAGTTGTGTGGTTGCAATGGACTGTATGGCTCATAAACTAAAATACTTACAGTCTGGCACTTTACAGAGAAGCTTGCTGACCCCTGCCTTAGGGGAACTTTAATTTATCCACCTGGGTGCTCTGGGTTGAGCCTGTCCTTGGCTAGGAACTGCCAGAGCTCCTGTTGGCCCCTTCAGTCATCATCAAGGACTGCAAAGTTGGGTAGGAAGAAGTTCCTATGAATAATTCTGGCCTTAAGGACTCTTTTCTCATCCACCTCCTTCTATATCACATTGTCAACTGTTCTTAAGTCTCAAAGATCAAGAGAAATTTCTTGAGTAGGCAGGGATGAGCTCTAGTCCTCACAAAGCACAATTGGGGTGTAGGGTTACTGCAATGCCCACTCTTCCATTCCCATCTTTTCAGCCCTCTGTAAAGTCATCTTTTCTATTCAGACATTTGGAGCTAGGGGTTGGAATTGAACTCATTTTCAGCTATAGGATTGGTTGAGTCTTGAATGTTTCACAGAAACAGTCCTTAGAAGGCAATGCTTGATTGGACATTCCAATTAAAATCCATTTCAAGCTTGGAGGTGGTCTGCTTCAACCACTCTTGCCAGGTCATTTCCCAGTCTCTGCTTCCATTCATACTATTTAGTCAGCAGATTCATGAAGGAAGAATGTACTGAGCATCCACTGTATACCCAACTGACTGCTGACACAGTATTGATTCAGAGAAGAAGATGCACTCTTTGGTGCAATGGGACTCTTGCCAAGGAGGCCAGACATAAAAACCCAGAAAGGAAGAGATCAACTGGGCAAGAGTCAAAGAGATACCACCATACACAACATCACAGAGAACACACACATCCACTATCATAACTGCATGGATTATAAGGACTAGACAGGCTGGAATGCAGGGTGAGACTTCTCAGATGAAGCAGGGCTTGAGTTGGGTGTTGAAGGAGGAGAGCAGAGAGGGGGATGTTCATCCAAACAAGAGGGGTGGCACTAGTTCGGGTTTGGGAGCAAAGAAGGAATGTGCTGGGGATGGTAAGGAGCTTAAGGCAGAAGATTCTTGATGAGGACCGGGGAAAAAGAATATGACACAGAGATTAAGTGAGTCTTCTCAAATGCCACACTATACTTGCTCTCATAATAGGTGATGTACTATCATTTACTGGAATGGCAGAATAGAACTCTGGGGTCAGGGATTTAGGAAGAGACACCAGCAAGTAGGCAACCAATGCACTTCAGAAACTATCAGCATTCCCAGTGTCTTCTTTATTTACTCTTAAACACACACATAGGAAATTTATCTCTGGGAAACTCTGGCACACTCACCGGCCACCAGGTCATATCTCGACCAGCCAAGAAGAAGCCTCCAACAGTGCCCCGGTTGGTCTTCAGCATTGCCTAAGCAGAAAGGAAGACATGTGAGGGTCAAACACCGCAAATTCACCCAGGATGTTACAGATGCTCTGGTCAGAATGTTCATAGTGGTCACTTTTTCAACACTCTTAAAGAGAAACATTTTCTTAGAAACTGTGATATAGCATCAATTTTAAAAGGACTTGAAAATCATAGTTTCGGGGCGCCTGGGTGGCGCAGTCGGTTGAGCGTCCGACTTCAGCCAGGTCACGATCTCGCGGTCCGTGAGTTCGAGCCCCGCGTCGGGCCCTGGGCTGATGGCTCAGAGCCTGGAGCCTGTTTCCGATTCTGTGTCTCCCTCTCTCTCTGCCCCTCGCCCGTTCATGCTCTGTCTCTCTCTGTCCCAAAAATAAATAAACGTTGAAAAAAAAAAATTTTAAGAAAATCATAGTTTCATAGAAATGGAGGGACTTTAAGAAATCATATTCCTCAACATCTGTCCTAATTGCTCTGTTTATTTTCATTTATAAAAACAATGCAAGGTATCAGTAAATCTGTGCTTGGAAGTAATTTTGCAGCCTTACACTCATTACTAAATAGAAAGAATGAGTGTAAATGAATTAGGCATCCAGCTGAATCATTTAGAAAGTGAGCAAAATTCTACTCCTGAAATCAATGTTACACTAGATGTTAACTAACTAGAGTTTAAATAAAAATTTGAAAAAAGAAAGTGAGCAAAAAACAAAGGAAAATAAAAGATGTGAGATAATGAAAATAACATCCTTATTCATTATGCCAGGTACTGGACACACCAAACAGAATATGTCTGAAGTTCTCACTGCTGGCTCTGTTCAAATGATGGTGTTGGTAGGAGAATAAATTAACTGAGTAAATATTATTTACGTCACACATGAGACAATGGTTCTGAGAAAAGGATAATGAAATCTGACAGCTGTTAGTGTTTTCTCAGCATTGTCACATTGTTATACCACACCCTTCCCTCCCTCAGACATTTTAACCCCAAACTTGGTGCCCACCCAGAACACCCACCCCATTGGATTCCTACATACCCACAGCCCGACAGCCATCACCACCATGAAATAGATGACAATGACAGAGATGTCAGCAGCATTTTGGATGCGCTCTGACATCTCAGGAGGACCCAGGGTCCCAGTCATGGTACTGGGGCTTAACGTGCTGGCCATGGCCATGGTACTTTCCCATCCCAGGGATGGCCCTTTCTTTATATAAGCTCTGGGTTAATAATCAGCCTTGAGCAGGTGGGGCACACTATCAGAACAAACTCCTGGGCATGGGAGACCTTTAAACCTCTTCTTTGAAACTCTGAGACCCTGGTCTTCCAGCAGTCAATATTGACCTAAGTCTTATGGAAAGTGGGAATGAGCAGTGAAAGATAAGAAATGGGATAAGAATTGCAGGTCAAGAGTGGGGAGTTCACTGAAAAGAAAGATGGGTTTTTAAGATTTGACCAGGTTGAGTGGGGATTAAGGAGAGATGAAAGGGACAAGGAAAGAAGAAGGACAGAGTGAAAGGTCAAGAAAAGAGCCAAGAAGGATGGGGTGAGAGTCTTTCATGGAACAGACGATTCCTGACCAAGGAATTATATCCCTTGAAAATGAAGTTAATTGTGCATTTCATGGGTTTCAAAGCCTATATTTCTTTGAACAGGTAATCTAAATGGGCTTTATATGACACATTAGGATCATGGTGGCCCATGTAGGAAAGGGAAGTGGCTCTACAAGCAGGGCTGTTGTGGGACGGGGCTGGTTTTGACAATGAGTGAATCAACCTAAAAGCATGTGATAGTGACTTGTATTTCTAATGAATTCCTTCTCAAGGTTGAATAATATTCCATTGGATGTATATACCATATTTTGTTTATCTGGGGACCCAGGACCCTACTGACTGCCTAAAGTTAAAAGTAAATTATTTTATTTTTTTCCCTCCATATTTTTTGGTAAAATAATGTGGTAAGATATGGATAATATAAAATTTGCTGTTGTTGCCATTTTTTAAAAGCAAGCTCCATGCCCAATGTGGGGCTTGAACTCACAACACCGAGATCAAGAGTTGCATGCTCCACTGACTGAGCCATCCACGGGTCCCCATTGTTGTCATATTTTAAGTGTATAAGTCAGTGGTGTTAAGTACATTCTCAATGTTGTGCAACCATCACCACTATCATTTTCAGAACTTGTAATCATCCCTAACAGAAGTTCAGCACCTAATAAATAAAACTCATTCCTCCCTATTCCCAGCCTCTGGTAACCTCTGTTCTACCTTCTGTAGATTAGCCTGTTCTAGGTACCTCAAATAAGTGGAATCTTATAATATTTGCCTTTATGTGTTGGATTTATTTTGCTTAGCATTATGTCTTCAAGATTCATCCATGCTGTAGCATGTATCAGCACTGGATTCCTTTGCAAAGCTGAATAATATCCCATTGCATGGATATATCACATTTTGTTTACCTATTTATCTGTTAAGGAAAATTTGTGTTATTTGTACCTTTTAGATATTGTGAATACTACTGCTATGAACTTGGTGTACAAGTATCTGTTTGAGTGCCTACATCCATTTTTTGAGTACACACCTAGAATTAGAATCACTGGTTTTTTTTTTTTTTTAATTTTTTAACGTTTATTTATTTTTGAGACAGAGAGAGACAGAGTATGAACGGGGGAGGGTCAGAGAGAGGGAGACACAGAATCCGAAACAGGCGCCAGGCTCCGAGCTGTCGGCACAGAGCCGACACGGGGCTCGAACTCACGGAGCGCGAGATCGTGACCTGAGCCGAAGTCGGCTGCCCAACCAACTGAGCCACCCAGGCGCCCCTAGAATCACCGGGTTTTATGATAATTCTATATTTAACATTTTAAGGAACCACCATGCTTTTTTTTTACACATCATTTAACTTTCCCAGCAGCAATGCACAAGATCTCCAATTTCTCCATAAACTCACCAACATGTGTTATTTTCAGTTTTTAAAATTATAGCCATCCTTGTAGGTGTGTAGTGGTATCTCATTGTGGTTTTGATTTCTACTTTTAGTGCGACAATAATGATGTTGAACTTCTTTTCATGTGCTTATTGGCTATTTGTATATATTTTTGAAGAAATGTTTATTCAAGTCTTCTGCTTTTAGAATTGGACAATTTTAGAATTGGATTGTTTGTTTTTGTTTTTGTTGTTGAAAATGTAGGAGTTCTTTAGATATTCTGGATGTTAATCTTTCATCAGAGAGTTTGAAAGCAGTTTTTTTTCCCATTCCATGGATTGTATTTTATTTCCTATGATAGTGTCTTTTGCACAAAATTTTTAATTATAGTGAAGTTCAGTTTTTCTTATTTTTTCTTTTTTTGCTTGTGCTATTAGTGTCATATTCAAGAAATCATCACCAAATCCAATGACAAAGATTTTACCCTATGTATTATAGTTCTAGTTCTTAGATCTAGAATATGATCTAATTTTTGAACATGATGTAAGGCAAGGGTCCAATTTCATGTGCATATCCAGTTTTTGAGCATTATTTATTGAAGACTTTTTTTTTTCCCCTGTTGAGTGATCTTTTTACCCTTATAAAAAATAATTTAGTGCCACAAACAAGGTTTTTTTTTTTTCTTTTTTCCCCTGGGATCTTTTTCTTTTCTATTGTTCTGTATGTTTGTTCTTTTTTTTTTTTTTTTCAACGTTTATTTATTTTTGGGACAGAGAGAGACAGAGCATGAACGGGGGAGGGACAGAGAGAGAGGGAGACACAGAATCGGAAACAGGCTCCAGGCTCTGAGCCATCAGCCCAGAGCCTGACGCGGGGCTCGAACTCCCGGACCGCGAGATCGTGACCTGGCTGAAGTCGGACGCTTAACCGACTGCGCCACCCAGGCGCCCCTGTATGTTTGTTCTTAAGCCAGTACCACATTGTTTTGATTACTGTAGGTGGGTTTGTAGTACGTTTTGAAATCACCAAGTGTGAAACCTCCAAGGCCTCCCTTTTAAAGTTTATTTATTTATTTTGAGAGAGGCAGAGAGAGAAGGAGAGACAGAATCCCAAGCAGGCTTTGCACCACCAGCGTGGAGCTCCATGTGGGGCTCAAATCCACGAACCAAACCATGAAATCATGACCTGAGCTGAAATCAAGAGTCAGAGCCTTAACAGACCGAGCTACCCAGGTTCCCCAGTTCTCTATTTTTAAGAATCTTTCATGGTTTGTTTCCTCTTTCTTTTAGGGGCATCTGGGTGGCTCAGTCAGTTAAGCATCTGACTTCAGCCCAGGTCATGATCTCACAGTTTGTGAGTTCGAGCCCCACATCAGGCTCTGTGCTGACAGCTTGGAGCTTGGAGCCTGGAGCCTGCTTCTGACTCTGTGTCTCCCTCTCTCTCTCTCTGTCCCTCCCCCAGCTCATGCTCATACTCTGTCTCTGTCAAAAATAAATAAACTAAAAAAATTAAATTCTAGTAAACATACAGTGTAGTATTGGTTTCAGGAGTAGAACATAGTGATTCATCACTTACATATAACACCAAGTGCTCATCCCAAGTGCCCTACTTAATGACATCACCCATTTAGCCCCTCCTCCCACCCACCTCCTCTCCATGAACCCTCAGTTTGTTCTCTGTATTTAAGAATCTCTTATGGTCTGCCTCTCTCTGTTTTTATCTTAATTTTCCTTCACTTCTCCTATATTCATCTGTTTTGTTTCTTAAATTCCACATATGAATGAAATCATACTATATTTGTTTTTCTCTGACTGACTTATTTCACTCAGCCTAATATACTCTAGTTGCATCCATGTTGTTGCAAATGGTAAGATTTCATTCTTTTTGATTGCTGAGCAATATTCCATTGTATATATATACCACATCTTCTTTACCTATTCATCAGTCAATGGACATTTGGGCTCTTTCCATAATTTGACTATTGTTGATAGTGCTGCTGTAAACATTGGGGTGCATGTGCCCCTTCGAATCAACATTTTTGTATTCTTTGGAGAAATACTTAGTAGTGCAATTGCTGAGTCATAGGGTAGTTCTATTTAAAATTTTTTGAGGAACCTTCATACTGTTCTTCAGAGTGGCTACAACAGTTTGCATTCCCACTAACAGTGCAAAAATGTTCCTCTTTCTCCACATCCTTGCCAACATCTGTTGTTTCCTGAGTTGTTAATTTTAGCCATTCTAACAGGTGTGAGGTGATATCTCATTGTGCTTTTGATTAGTATTCTCTGATAATGAGTGATGTTGAGCATCTTTTCATGTGTCTGCTAGCCCTCTGGGTGTCTTCTTTGGAAAAGTGTCTATTCATGTCTTCTGCCCATTTCTTCACTGGATTTTTTGTTTTTGGGTGTTGAGTTTTCTCAGTTCTCTATAGATTGTGGATACCAACCCTTTATCTGATATGTTATTTGCAAATATCTTCTCCTATTCCATTGGCTGCCTTTTAGTTTTGTTGATTGTTTTCTTCACCCTGAAGAGGTTTTTATCTTGATGAGATCCCAATAGTTCATTTTTGCTTTTGTTTCTCTTGCCTCCAATGATATGTCTAGTAAGAAATTGCTGTGGCTGAGGTCTAAAAGGTTGCTGCCTGTTTTCTCCTGTAGGATTTTGATGATTTTTTTTGTCTTACATTTAAGTCTTTAATCCATTTTGAATTTATTTTTTGTATGGTATAAGAATGTGGTCCAGTATCATTCTTCTGCATGTCACTGTCCAGTTTTCCCAGCATCATTTGCTGAAGAGACTGTATTTTTTTCCATTGGATATTCTTTCCTGCTTTGCTGAATATTAGTTGGCCATACATTTTTGGGTCCATTTCTGGGTTTTATGTTCTGTTCCATTGATCTATGTGTCATTTTTTTTTTTAATTTTTTTTTTCAACGTTTATTTATTTTTGGGACAGAGAGAGACAGAGCATGAACGGGGGAGGAGCAGAGAGAAAGGGAGACACAGAATCGGAAACAGGCTCCAGGCTCCGAGCCATCAGCCCAGAGCCTGATGCGGGGCTCGAACTCATGGACCGCGAGATCGTGACCTGGCTGAAGTCGGACGCCCAACCGACTGCGCCACCCAGGCGCCCCGATCTATGTGTCATTTTTGTGCCAGTATCATACTGTCTTCATGACTACAGCTTTGTAATACAGTTTGAAGTCTGGAACTGTGATGCCTCCAGCTTTGGTTTTCTTTTTT